TGATTAAACATGAGATATAAACATGAGATATTCGTCTTGTACAGACCTAACAGGCGATCTTTGGTCTCGTGAATCTATAATTCGTTCCCTGGCCAATAGTTTGGGCAGAAAGGATCAGTGAAGTTTCATATATTTGAGCGCTGAATTTGTATATTTGGACTGAATTTTTTGCTTTATGTTATTAAAGCTTTACTGTATCTTTATTACAAGATCATCTGTAATGTTTATTACAATATTTGTAGGGCCTACCAATGCAATATGCAATACATTACATATTGCCTGGAATATGTTTAATTTTGTAAAATTTAAACGAAAAGAGTCAGGGTTGTGTTTTATATTTAGCTTTGTTATAAATATAACGTTACATACATGCATTGAATAATCAATAGGTTATGCGTTGCCTGAACCACATTTGAAATGTATTTAAATGAAATCGAAAAGAAGCAGAGTGGTGTTTTAAAACATATTAAGTTTTGTTGTTGCCTCAAATGTACATACAGAGATAACCGGAGTAGCAGCACGAGCTGAGAAGTGCATTCAAGAACGTGCGGTTCCATTAGCAGAATTAACGTTACTGGACTCGCATCCTCGGGAGTCATTCTCCTGAGTCGGGCTTAGCGTAGGCTACTTGGTATTGAGAAACGCCTAATGCCAGTGCTTGTTTCCTGTGACAAACATGCCGAGAAGCAAGAACAAGATCTGCTATATGTCATCCATTGTTGTTTGCTATGTCGCTTTCTTCACGCGAGAATGACGTCGATCGCTTCTTTCCGGCAAACACCACGCCTATCAAGTAAGGGTACTGTTGGCAGTGGAAACACAAGCCTGATCATGGTGTACCGACCCGTACTGTACTGTACCATACCGCACCCCTCAGTGGAAATGAGCCATTAGTGCCAACTGGGCATCGTTTAAATGCCACGGCCTACCTGAGCATTGTTTCGGACCATGTCCATCCCTTTATGGCCACCATGTCCCCATCCTCTGATGGCTACTTCCAGCAGGATAATGCACCATGTCACAAAGCTGGAATCATTTCAGATTGGTTTCTTGAACATGTCAATGAGTTGACTGTACTAAAATGGCCGCCACAGTCACCAGATCTCAACCCAATAGAGCATCTTTGGGATGTGGTGGAACGGGAGCTTCGTGCCCTGGATGAACATCCCACAAATCTCCATCAACTGCAAGATGCTATCCTATCAATATGGGCCAACATTTCTAACGAATGCTTTCAGCACCTTGTTGAATCAATGCCACGGAGAATTAAAGCAGTTCTGAAGGCGAAAGTGGCCAAACAGTGTTAGTGTGGTGTTCCTAATAATCCTTCAGGTGAGTGTAATGCCTATCAATTAAACACTAGACTAAACTCTACTGGTTGTCATACTTGTTGATGAAATGCCACAGTTTCATCCCATCATCTCTGTAGTAGTAGTTTGGCACAGTCTCCAGGCCTCTCTCTGAGATGTTATCAGGAAGACAGAGGGCGCTGTAGGTCAGGGAGGCAGTGGCACGCTTCAGCAACTTCTCCAATGACTCTCCACCTACTCCTGCATACTACGAGTGGTAGAACGGAGAGAAGACGCGACATAAAGTTAGGGCAAAGGCTACTGTATAAGCAAAGTTCTCTCATCACAAATCCCATTATAATTTCCTCAGCATTTAAATACAAAAATATTAGTTAAAATTTAGTAAAAGCAATCTAGCAATGTATTGATGTAAGACGTCAGTCATCACAGAAGACGTTAAAGAGCCATTCATGTATTTATTTATTTTTTTTACCAATCTTACAAGATATTTTTGCACGTATTCAACAAAAAGTGTATTGGATTATAATTGAGACTGATCCTTTAGTGCCTCTTTTAACCATTGAATGTGCACACCTTTGTAATGGCCCCATCCTTGGATATCAGCTGATTCCGGGCCATGATGTTGATCTGGAGCGTGTATCGGATATGGGGAAAGAGGAGCTGCAGAAGGAAAAGTAAGAAAGACATTTGTATTCACTGCCTTCACATTCTTTGAAGATATATGAATAACGAATGAATTTTAATTTCTTGTCTGTGAGTGCGTGCGCTATTGCACCTGTGTGTGTGTGTAACTCTACCTGCAAGCCTTCTTTTGTTTGTGACTTCCTGAACTCCACTCCAGTTATTTTTACACAAATTACAGAACGATTACATTTCTGGAGAGAATTGTTAGAGGGAGGTGACTGGGTTTGAGTGAGACATTACTTGTGTGCCTAATGTTCTGTGTAGTCTGTGTCCACAAGCTATAGATGAGCCAGTCCTACCCTATCTCACGACCAATTCGTACGAATTCGTACGAGTGATTAAAAAGTGCCTAATTCGTACTAATTCGTATGACCTCACTCGTACGAATTCATACGATTTGTCTAAACCGTCTAACACGTGACGGTTATGTTTAGGGGCGGGGTCAGGGGTAGGTCATTCGTACGAATTCATACGAATTGGCCAATTCGTAAAATATGTACGATTTAGCAAAAATCGTACTAATTTGTACGACTGAGGTCGTATGAATTGTTATGAATTAGCCACGAATTAGCCACCTCGTAAAATTCGTACGAATTCCCGTGAGATCGGGTTGGCCAGTCCCTCTCTCCAAAAGGCCAATAATGAAGGACGGGCTTTTTCACTTGGTAACAATAGATACAATAGGTCAAATAGACACAGCTGTGACCACACACTACACCTGAAAACTCCCCTGCCGTCAAATAGTATAGAAGTGCCATACATTATTGAACTCGCTATCATTCTCTCTCTCTGTGGGTGTGGATGTGGCATCTCTGGAGCACGCCACTGTTGTAGCCCTCATCCTTCACACACGTCAAACCGCCTCATGCGCGGCAGATTCAATACCTTGTGGAGAGGGTGTGGCGAGGGGAGATTGCGCAGCGTGGCCACGGTGAACACCTCCGCCAGCAGGTGAGTCCTCAGCAGGTGAAAGTCCACCTCGTGAACGCCAAACTCTGCGCTTCGGACGAAGATCTTGGCCAGTTTCCAGTCAGCCTTTGAATCCGTCGGGAGGAAGATGGGATTGTCTTTGCCGGGCTTCTGCCGTAACTGTGGAGATTACATTTGAACATCCGTGAAAATGCTACAAATGGTTTCTGAGGGAATCTCTGCAATTATTTTTCTCCCTTTTTATGAAATGAGAAAGGATTTCCACGACATCTGTCGTAATTACTCTATAAAGACATTGACATCATTCAGACGTTTGCCTACTCTTCAGTTGTACATTATATATCACATTTTATTCTTTGTAATAATTTGGTTATTTACCTCATCTTTCGAGATGTATTCATCTGTGTTTAATTTAATAAAGACTGAGCAGGTAGTTCTGTTTCAGTCTGGGATATGTCGCTTCTTGAGCATTTCCCAGCTGAAGCAAGTTCGAATCTCTCTAAATGCTCAAGGAGCGACGTCCCGTTCAGCGTGATGTCTTGTGTTCTCCCTCAAAGAGCCGAGGTTTTATTCGTAATGTATTTCTGCTTGTAGATCCGCACCTGAATGGCGATGGGCAGCATCAAGCCTTGAGGGTTGCAGTACAGCAGGACCAGGGGAGCCGTGAGATACTGCTGTCTGCCACTGACCACATTGCCCACCAGCTCATCCAGCATCTTATAGTCAGACAGGAAGATGTTCCCTTTCTGGGTGTGGGTGCAGATCACACCAAATATGAAGACACACACGAAATTAGACAAAACCAAAGCAAACCAGACCCAGTCTTTCCAAATCATTGCCAGTGGCAAGAAAGCGTACCTCCATCTCCTGCTCCAAGCTGCTGCCTCCTAGGGAGCCTTTGACCATGTCGTCTGTGACGGGGAAGTTCTCGGGCAGAGTTGAGCAGAGCTGGATCATCATAGGATTGAGGCCATTCAGAAACTGGTAGCCAAAGAACTCGTCCTCATCCCAGTGCTCCTGACAGTATTCTGCAAAGCATGCCGTGTCAGAACATATCCCTTACAGAACCAAGATATATTTCCCATGTGTGAATGGTTTAACAGTATATTTGAAAAAATTCAGAAAAATATATTGTGTTTATATGTTACAATCTATTGAATTATACATAAGGTATTTGCCGCTTTTCATGTATTGAAAAATATGTGGCAGTATATTTACTAATATATCATAATGTATGTAACTTTATATTCAGTAATACACTTCATAATATATAGATGTATACATGATTAGCTATGGCACTGCAGATATTTTATTTAATTACTCAAGCACCACATAAACACACGTATATAGAGATACTCGGATATACCAGAAAACCTTTTAAATTAAAAAAGGAAACACTAGCATATCTCGGCCCTATACTAATATTGAGCAAAACAGATTAAAATAACACTTGATTTTAACATTTGCTCTCCTTTAACAGTCAGAAGCAAAGCATGCTGGGAACTAGAAGTCTGATGTAACTCATTCCGTGACTGTGTGTGAACATATATATTTGTGTGCCATTCACATTGAACATACATTTACAATATTTTGGGAACATGTATGTGCAGCACATGTACACATAAAGGCTAAAACCTTGTGAATGTTATTGCTGTTTTTGTCTCTATTTATAAATATTTTATATTCATTAATAGCCGTAAATGGTCAATGCATATATTGCAGTATATTGGAAACGATGAGCACTAGTTTCCCATATATGGAAATGTGTTATGTAATTTATCGCATTAAATTTTGCAGTATATTCCCATATATTTTTACTCTGTAAGGGATGATATAGTATAGACAGTACTTTATTTGCCATACAGTAATTTTGAGCAGTTTTTTCATTTAAGAGGAGTACCAATGGTTTCCGATCTTTTGTCACAAAGGATTGGTTCCAGTTGGCTGATGCTTTCCCATGAATCTCTGCAGTCAGCTAATCCAGTTAGCTTTAGAGCAACTAACCTGCACACACAGAATACACAGTGCAAACATTCATAGTGTAACAGCCTTGATATTCAACTATATAGTTGTGAGCATCTTTGTAGTTACTACTTTGGCCGTGTGGAAAGTGCACATTTTCTGACACGTTTGTTCAAACACTATATACAATTTTCAACACTTGACGAGCTATAATCCTGGTTGTGGGCGCTCCGTTGCCGACAGTCTCTGCCTACGGTTTACCAATAACAACTGACTGGGTCATCTGACCAATCGCCGCAGATTCGCGTCACTCAAAGGAGGTGTTTGGGAAAATGAATCGTCGAACGAATCATTTGGGAGTCATTGATCAAATCAGTTAAAAATAAATGCATATTATAAGACAAATAAAGTGTTTTTTATCCTTGCATGCACGTTAAACCGTTTTTTTGGGAACTCCTGAAACAAAAATAGGAACATTTCAAATGCTATGATAGGGGCTCTTTAATGCAATTTTGAGACAAATAAATGTACATTTCTGGTCAGGATTTTGACCAAGGTCCTGAGCCGTTGCTGGGCGCCGCGGACAGACACTGAATGCTCACCGGTGTACACTCCTAGAGAATAAAGTGCTTCAACTTTAAATATGTGGCGCTGAGCTTCTCGTCAGGTGTGCTAGAAACCAGCATGTCAGTGAATAAAATATAGTATAAAGTAGGCCTATAGCTTGGGTGTCAATGAGTGACAAAAACAGGATTGTTGTTGTAACGTTATATAAATACCAGAACTGCTACCAGTGCAAGTCGGATATTACTACTGTTCTTATTATATAATAAACATTCACCAGTATTTCTAATACACGAGTGTAAACTTTGCACTGGCACTTTTGAAAAAAATGAAAAAGCACAAGAATCTGTCAAGAAGCAGAGTGAAACTACACCGACGTGAACCTGCTGCTGCTGCCGATAATCTGGAAGAGGAAGCCAATATGGCAAAACCATGAATAGGCCTACTGAATATATTGCTTGTCATTCAAATAAGAAATAGAGTTGACACCAGTTCAGTTGTTTCCCTAAATTCTTAAGGTTGTGTTGTTGTAAAAACCCAATATTGGGTCCAGCAGACCCGTGAACTCTGAACAGTGTGTAACAAAGAGATGAACACTACAGGAGGGAGTGAAAATGACTTGGTCACTTACTGCTTTCCTGCGGAGAAGTAAAACTCGGATTCCTTTGAGAAAGAGAATCGGACTTCAGGCGGCAGAGAGCAGGCACTGTCGCAATCGATAACTTGAGGCATGCCCTCAGCATACACACGCCACCTAGGAGTAAAGTATTTCAACACAAGGAATTTCATTTCTCTTTATCTTAATATAACGCAGACACTTGGCTGTCACACTCGACTTGTATAGGCAGGCGTGCTGTCCACCAACCTAAATAACTTCTGTTGCTCGTCCACCTCCCTCATCCTTAGTTTTTGGGCTATTAGGTTGGTGTCCTGGAACACAAGTGAAGCTGAAATACAAATGCCAACATTAATTTACAATCTAAATTTCAGTTTGGAAACACTTTTGAAAAAAAAAAAAAAATGGAATCTATATTTTGTATATATATTAGGGTGACCAACTGTCCTGTTTTCAAATAACAATTTTCTATCCATACAGAGGAGGCATAACCTACTTTAAATGTATTGAAATTAATAAGGTATCTTTGAGTAAACTTCGAGTATCATTTGAGTAGGCCCATCTGTTTGCCAGGCCGAGTGTCCTGGTTTTTGGTAATCAAAATATGGTCACCCTAATACATGTATGTATGTATGTATGTATGTATGTATATATTTATCGTGTCTTGACTATACAACGATGACTTCTCAAATGTGCTTTATTAGTAGCATAATAAGTAATAGTAGCATTAGCCTATAGCTAATCTTCTGAGATACATAAAAAAGAACCATTTGAATGACAACTACATACGCAGTACATCTGCAAGCCATCAGCCATATGGAAAAGGTTTGCTAAAAACACCTGTGATTCTTATATGTTCCAACAGAATATTGAAAGGGACATATATGCTGCAAAATCCACATATATAAATTGCATAATATTAATATATTTTTTTAATCATATACTGCATGTCCTACACAAAAGCCATATAGATTTTCTTGATGTAAAAACATAGGAAAATAATGCTAATTTAATATTCATGTCCAGCATCTTAAAGTATTAAGTTGACTTTCAAACTCACCCTGATGTCATCCAAGATATCCATGTATCACTTAAATTTTTTATACACAGAATGCAGGGGCGCAACTACCCAGTTTCGGAGGGGTATGCAGCAACAATTTTAGCCCTAATAAGTGAGTAATAAGTGAGTAATAAGTGAGTAGGAAGAAATGAGAGCTAACAGAAAAAAAAGTGCAAAATTGTCGTTTATTAACACAATTAAACTATAGATACTTGATGAACCCCCCCTAAGAAAACTATAAGCTCCATTGTAACAGCAATACCAGTGTTTCTCACAGGATTTTAGGTAAAACTGTGGTAGGTGGACCTCTGTTTCTCTAGGGGGGTTCGGGGGCATGCTCCCCCGCAAGAAAATTTTGTGTTCTCTAATGTTAAATTCAGCAGTCTGGTGCACTTTGAGAGTTCCAAATTAAAAGCTCCAACCCATATTCAGGGTGCAAGTTAAACAGAGAAAATTTTGATCCTCTTTTAGTTAGTGTCTGTATAAATTACACTACTACAAAATAATAGTTATAATATTAATCCCATGATAGTAATTGCCATAAAGGCTATTGTAAAACAAATGCACAGAAAAATAAAGGAAACTTTCATAATTAGTTTTGCACTAATTTCTATACTTGAAAGATATAAGCGCATAATGACATGTTTCATGGGCCAGTGTGTCAGAAAAAAAAAAACTAAAGCTGACTTTTTTTGACCAATGCATTACACCAGCACAGCGCCGCCAATTAAGCAAAAAACAAAACAAAAACAAACAACAAACAAACAAATGGGCCGCCGATGTATGAGTTTTGTGGGCCGTTAAGACAAATAAATTAAAAAAGGATGAAATTTATTGTCTGAAATACATTCCCAGCGGGAATCTCCCGGTAGTCCCGATGGCCACAGAGATATAGATAGCCATGCCTGGATGTCACATTTTAAATCCTACCTGTTGGATTTCAGCAATGCATGCAGTTATTTAGGTGCTGTCGCATCAATTGACATGCCATCTCCTTTTCTCTCTTTCTTTTTCTATTTTGAGCACCATAGCATTTTGTTTTATCCATCTTTTTCGACGACAACTAACTACTCGTACCTGCTCGCTCAGAGCTCACGGCGCCCCCGCCCGCTCGCGATATTACCCGCCCCCCTTCTCCATGAGGGCGCCTACTCTAGCCTGGCTGTTAGTCCTCTAAAATTTTATATAACATTGAAGGAATGCAGAAATGATTTAGAAACGCACAACGGCAGCTACATATAGAAATAGCTGCCGTTGTAGCCTATATATATATATATTTTTTTATTTTATTTTATTTTTTTTACCATCGCTTTGGCGCCCCCCATTGTGCTGCGCCCCTATGCGCCGCATATAGCGCATACTAGGGATGCACCAAAATGAAAATTCTTGGCCGAAACCGAAAACCGAAAAAGAGGAAACCAAGGCCGAAAACCGAAAACCGAAACACCGAAAGAAATTATGCCAATTATCAGTATCATTGCATTTATGGCTATGACTGTGTACAAACGTTACTAAAATCAAGGCATTGCAATTGCATAAATTAATATAAAATTTTCAAAGAATAAATCAATTACAAATTATGCAAATATTTATTTAGCACAATGCACAGTATAAAATAAAATTCAAAGTAAAATGTTTTTGACCCCACTCATGTGTACATTAAATAATAATCTAATGGCCTGCAGAAAGGTTTTAAAATTAAATGTTCTCTCATAAAAACAAAGCCGAGTGCGAACTTCTTCTCATCACACCAGCACCCTTTGCACGTTTAAATTAGTTTCTTACATTTTAAAAATTTAGCATACAATAGCATAAAAAGCCTTTTTAAATGAACAAAGGTCCATGATTAATACAAATGTACATGAAACTTAACGAAACATGTTTAGTGAATGTAGAAAATATTTAAGAGAGCATTAATTTAGTTCTATACATACATGTTCCCATATATATTTTTTTGTAATGTCACACAAGTAATAATCTCAGAGTTTACTGGGTTTACATGATTATTCTTCTTCTCACCGATTCCTAATGGTTAGAGGACAGTTACTTGAGTCGTCCCCTGTCGTTTCAAGGAATAGTACGACGGAGAGCGGGTCCAGTATAAACGCCTCGACCGTTTGGAGCGGTGTGCGCGCTGTCTGAGGAGACTCGCGCATACTTTCGCCTACCTCCGCAGCGCGAGTCTCCACAGTTTATACTTGACCCGCTCGCATCCGGAGTCGTTGTCATGGCGGCGCGCATTGTTTAGAGCAGATATAGGTGGATAAACAAGGCTTCCGTCTCCTCGCGGGTTCAGATTCACTGAAATACGTCCGCACCGGAAATACATGTTGCTTCAGACAAGCACGTGCAGGTCGCGGTTTCTGTTTGCGTCATCACAACATTTCGGCCGTATTGTTTCGGTGATAAAAGTCTTTCGGCCGAAAACCGAAAATGCACTTTTGGGCCATTTTCGGCCGAAAATTTTCGGTGGCCGAATATTCGGTGCATCCCTAGCGCATACCCACTTTTTGCGCCACTGACAGAATGGACTTCAATGGCAACCAACTATTCAAATGTTCAAAGAAGTTTCAAAAGTATATATATATATATATATAATATATATATATATATTATATATATTATATATATATATATATATATATATATATATATTATTTTTAGTAATTTTTTAATTATTTTTATTATTTTTTTAACGACCGTTCGTTTCACTAGATTAGACCCTTATTTCTTGACTAGGATTGTGTCGAGACTTCGAAGCTACATTGAAAATTTGAATCTTTGGTTCCCATTGAAGTCCATTCTGTGTAGAAAAATCCTAGAATGTTTTCCTCAAAAACCTTAATTTATTTTTAACTGAAGAAGTGAATTAATAGAATTGAGTGAATTAATAAAACAGTGAAGTTTACCAATAAGTGTAAGGCTCATAGACAGTAAAAGGGTAAGGCTGTAGTCAATCATGTCAATCATGCTCATATACTGTATAATCAACATTTGATGAAACTTAATAGAAAACTATTTAAAACTGCACACACAAGCACACATTTAAATTACAAAAAAAAAAATTATTAAAATCTATTCTACAAGATACAGTTGAATATTTTACATATATCAATGGTTTTGTTTTAAATTCTGTATCATCAGATTTCATTTTCATTTGTGACAATTTCTGTAAACTTTATCACAGTAAGCCTACTAAGTTAGTACATCTACTATTCTTAACCTGAAAAGGATACTTAATGTATTAGAAAGATGATTGATGTGAAATAAGATGCAGAATTGTGATTATTTTTGTTTCATGGATTCAAATGTCTCTGTATTTTCCTTTAACGTTTTCTCAATAAAAATAAAAATAAAATATATATATAATACTATTCTTAACCTAGTACAAACATAAAACTTTCCTTAAGTTATTCTTATGCATATCACCACCAGAGTTTGTCACATACAAAAATATATTCTAGCCAATTTTCAACATTTTATTCATTTGACGCAACTTTGTTAAATTGCTGGACCCTCTGATTGAAATAAACACTGTGATGAATTACATCCGGGGGAAAAAGCACAAGAAAAGAGAGAGGTGGATGTTAGAGTACCTATGGGGAAAAAGGAGGCAAAATTGATTTTTAAGAGGAAGTTAATAAATAAATGGCAAATTAGATGGGATAGTAGTAGCTAGGGGTGTGCAAAGCAGCCGGTATTTGTATCTGTATTTGTATTTGTTCAGGGAGGAAAAGTATTTGTATTTGTATTTGTATTCGAGTAAAATTCAAAATAGGCATAAAAATCTTTAAAAATACTTTATAGTGTATGGATTCTTTAATTATATCCATTTTAATAATTATGGATATGCAATATTGGTTGATGTTTTTCTATAAATCCAGCAATGAACAAGAAAAAGTAATTGAAAAGAAAATAACAGTCATCCATTATCTCATGAACCATGGTTAAACCAACAACTAATAAAATACAATTGTGAACATTATGAACCCCAACACCACGGTGGAGGACGCTGTGCAGACAGAATAAGTTATATGGATAATTTATAGTGAGGAGGTTGATTATGAGCCTGACGCGAAGCCTGAAGGGTTTGTATTCGCTGCCTCGTTCCACATTACCCCGCTTATTATATGGCTACCTACCAAATAAATCAATAATTTGACTCAAAATATGGATATAAAAAGGAGTTTGTGGATTTAAAAAACGATTGTATCGCTTCCGCTAAAGAAGAAAAATAGTCCGTCTGTCTCTACGTTTAGAATCCATGGCAA